AGCTAACTACTGCCAATCCTCCTCTTTTTGCTGAGTAAGACTGGCCCTCAGCTAGCCTCCATGCCCACCTTCCTCTACTTTATACCTGGGACGCCAGCACAGCACAGTGTGCCAAGCGGTGCCATGTCCGCACCCGGGATCCGAACCGGCGAGCCCCAGGCTGCTGAGAAGCGGAACATGGGCACTTAACCACTGAGCCACTGGGCCAAGCCCTGCCCCAATCCTTCTTATTTTTTTATTTTTATTTTTTCTGAGGAAGCCCTGAGTTAACTACTGCCAGTCCTCCTCTTTTTGCTGAGGAAGACTGGCCCTGAGCTAACACCCGTGTCCATCTTCCTCCACTTTATATGTGGGACGCCAACCACAGCATGGCATGCCAAGCAGTGCCATGTCCACACCCGGGATCCGAACGGGCGAACCCCAGGCTGCTGAGAAGCGGAACGTGCAAACTTAACCGCTGCGTCATGGGGCTGGCCCCCCCCAATCCTTCTTAAATTCTTCCTAACAATATAAGAGGAGGAACACTCCCAACTCAGTGTATGAGGCCGGTATTACCCTGATACCAAAGCCAGATAAACACATCACAAGAAAACTACAGAGCAGTATCCTGTATGAATATAGATGTAAAAATCCTTGACAAAATACTAGCAAACTGAATCTAACAGCACAGAAATAGGATTATACACTAGGACCAAGGAGGATTTCAGCCAGGAATATAAAGTTGGTTCAACCTCTGAAAATCAATTATTATAATACATCATTTTAATAAAATAAAGGGCAAAAAACACACTATCATCTCAATAGACACAGAAAAAAAAAAGATTTGAAAAAAATCCAACACCCCTTCCTTATAAAAACACTCAATAATCAAGGAATAGGTAGGAACTCCCTCAACCTGATAAAGGGCATCTACAAAGAGGCCACAGCTAACAGCATTCCTGATGGTGAAAGAAGGAAAGCTTTCCCACATGATCGGAAACAAAACAAGTTGTCTGATCTCACAATTTGTATTTAATATTTTACTTAAAATCCTAGCCATGATAATCAGACGAGCAGAAAAAACGTCATCCACTTTGGGATGGAAGAAGTAAAATGATCTCTGTTCACAGGTGACATAATCTCAAATAGAGAAAACCCTAAAATCCACTAGAAAATGATGAGAGCTAATAAATGTGATAAATAAATGACAAGCAATGGGATATATTGGTGGATATGAGGAAGCCATTTGGTGTAAAACTAATTCAGCCTGAACTTGTTTTTCCAAAAGGGCCTGACGTGGCCATTGAGCATGCGTTGTCTATCTGCTTTAAGTACTTACTACGTCCCAAAGACAAGAACAATGCCCTTAAAGATAAGGCTGTAACTTCCCCCAAATTGGCATTTCCTTAAGAATAAGCATCTCTCCCTAAACTAAGGACTGATTGCTGACCTGCTGTGTTCACCTTGTGACCATCCACCTTGGGACTGCTGACCCACTGTGTTCACCGAATTGCTATGCTGGCAAGGCAATCTCATGACTATTGTAAAAAGGACATTCCGGTGATATGTGATGCATGCTCTTTCACTGTATATAACCGCTCTGCACACCCCTACTTCTTTGGAGTGCTCTATGCCTTTGTGAAAGGACTCTGCCAGGCTATACGGTCCTCAGGGTTGGCGCATAATAAACTCACCCCAATTCTAATTTATAGATTGGTTATGTATTATTTACATCAACAAATGAAAACAGGAAGGTTACAGGATACAAGATCAATACACAAAATTCAATTATGTTTCTATAGATTCGTGACAAATGATTCAAAAATGAAATTAAGAAAACAAGTCCACTTATAATAGCATCCAAAAAATATTTGGAAATAAATTTAACAAAAAAGTGCAAGCTTGTAAATGGAAAACTACAAAGCATTGGTTTTTATTTAAATTAAAGATTTAAATTAAAGGAAAATGCCCCATATTCATGGTCGGAAGTTTGATTTTGTTAAAGTGGCAATAGTTTCCAGGTTGATCTGCAATCCCTATCAAAATACCAGCTGTATTTTGGGTAAAAATTGACAAGCTGATCCCAAAATTCATATGAAAATGCAAGAGATCCAAGATAGCAAAAACGTCTTGGAAAAGAAGAATACAGTTGCGGGACTCACGTTTTCCCTGATTTCAAGACTTACTACAAAGCTATGGTAATCAAGACAATGTGTTACTGGTTAAGGATAGACATGCAGATCAGTGGAATAGGATTGATATCCAGAAATAAACTTTTACATTTATGGTCGATTGATTCCTCACAAGGGTGCTGTGATATTGTGATTTATATAAGAAGTATACATTTGGTCTTAGCCCCTGTTCCTGGCACAGAATCCTAAAATCCTCGAAGTTTCCTCAATGAGAAGAGAGGTAAAGGGGTCTTTTTTTGTTACTCATAACAAGCTGTTTTCAACCATACCTGAGTTTATGTTAATGAGGTCACTTTTAGAAAGCCGCTAGGGATAGAGGCTGGTTGCCAGAGAGCCAACCCAGTGATTAGAGGGCTAGAACATGCTAGAACCTACCCCAGTCCCCAACTCCACCTCCTGGAAAGGTAGGGGGATTGAAGATACACTTGATCGCTAATGGCCAATGATTTAATCACTCGTGCCTACATCATGAATCCTCCATCAAAATTCCTGAACTATGGGATCAGGAGAGATTCTGGGTTTGTGACAAGACTGCAACCATATGCCAGGAGTATGATGGTAGTTTCTACTGGGACAGACACTACTGTGCTCAGGACCCTTCAGGACCTTGCCCTGTGTATTTCTTCATCTGGCTGTTCATTTGTATCCTTTAAGATCCTTTGTAATAAACTGGTTATCTAGTAAGTAAACTGACTTACTGAGTTCTTTGAGCTGCTCTAGCAAATTAATCTAACCTAAGGAGGGGGTTGTGGGAACTTCCAGTGTATATAGTCAGTGGGTCAGAAGCACAGTAACAACCTGGACTTGGGTTGGCCTCCAGAGTGGAGGGGGCAGTCTTGTGGGCCTGAACCCTTAACCTGTGGAATCTGATATCAACTCCAGGAACTGGTGTCAGAACCGAGTTAAAGTGTAGGACACCCAGCTGGTGTCACAGAATTGTTTGATGTGGGAAAAACCCCACATAGCTGGTCCCTGAAGTTTTCACTGTGAGCAGTGCTATGAGTAGACAGAAACACACAGGAGAGTTTTTCTTCTTTACAGGAGCCAAGACAATTCAATGAGGGGGAAGAATAGTCTTTTCAAACAGCGCTGGGGCAACAGGGTGTCTACATCCAGAAAGATGAAGTTAGAACCCCACATCACACCATACATAGATATTAACTCAAAATGATCCCAGATGTAAATGTAAGATATAAACTTTAAAACTCTTAAGAAAACATAAGAGTAAATCTTAGAGATCATCGGTTACGTCGTGGGGCTTCTTAGATACGACACCAAAAGCACAAGTGATAAGAGAAGACTGAAAAATTGCACTTCATCTAAACTGAAATTTTCTTTTGCTACAAATAATATCAAGAAAGAATTCACAGAGTGGGAGAAAATAGTTGCAAACTATATATTCGATAAGGTACTTGAATCTAGAATATATAAATAACTCTTACAACTCCATAGTAAAAAAGACAACCAACCAAATTAAAAATGAACAAGGGACTTAGACATTGCCACAAAGAAGATATATAAGTAGCCAAAAAGCACATGAAAATATGCTCAACATCGTTAGTTATTGAGGAAATGGAAATCGAAACCACAATTAGATAATATTTCACACTCACTGGGATAGCTATCATCAAAATGACAGACAATAAGTCCAGGATATGGAGAAACAGGAGCACTTATTTATGACTGGAGGTAATGTAAAATGGTGCAGCCACTTTGGAAAACAGTATGGCAATTCATCAAATTATTAAACATAGAGTTACCGTGTGACTTAGCAATTACACTCTTAGGTGGATATATCAGTGAGATGAAAACATGTGCCATCACAAAAATTTGTTTGAGAATGTTCATAATGGTATTAATAATAGCCAAAAAGTGGAGATACCCTAAATGTCCAGCAAGTGATGAATGGATAAACATGTGACATATCCATGCAATGGAATATTATTTGACAATGAAAAGGAATGGAGTACTGATATGTGCTATAACATTAATGAATCTTGAAAACATTATGCTAAGTGAAAGAAGTCAGTCATATAAGACCACGTATTGTATATTTCCATTTGTATGAAAAGTCCAGAAAAAAGAATTCAATAGAGAAAGAAAATAGATTAGTGGTTGCCTATGGCTGAAGGACATGTGGGTGGAATAGATTGTGGAGAAATGGAAAATAACTAGTAACAGGTACAAGGTTTCACTTCAGTATGATGAAAATGTTCTAAAATTAAATAGTGGTGATGGTTGTTCAATTCTGAATATTAAACAATAACATTGAATTGTATACTTTTAAATGGGTGAATTTTATTGTTTATGAATTACATCTCAATAAAGATGTTAAAAAAAGAAGAGTAAGTCAGTCCTAGCATACGGTAAGTATTTAATAAATGTAAACTATGACAGTAAAAAAAATGTGTCAAGCACAATTCTTTGGACAGTTTCCTACCTCTCTATAGTGGTGAAGTAGAGGGTTGTGTCAAAGATAACTGGAGGTCTGAGAACATGGGGAAAGGGTGGTGGTAATGACAGAAAGGAGGCTTCTGGCAAGGAAGCTAATTTGGGGATGGCGTTTGGGCATGTTGACTGTTCAAATGGAAATGTCTACTGAAGATTAATCAAAAGAAATAAGTTTTATTCCCATATTAGAAGAATTTTGGATAAACAGATATAAAATCTTCTTGCTATTGTGATAAGCAACTGAGAGTTTCCCTTCCTAATGAGTTTGGGAGAGTTGATAAGTTGATATGACATCATATGTAGTGAAGGGGTAAATTGGAGAGTAATGTTAAAGCAACTTAAAAAAGTAATAGGGTTATAAAATATGGTCTCTTACAGATGTCTTCAGAAGAGATATTCTTCACAACTGCCCTCCCTCAGTGTCATTCTCATATTCATGAATGAAGCTCTGTCCGTTATACAGCGGGCCATCACTAGCATTATCAACCGGACCCCCTCTCGATTGTTGAAGGAGATCATCTTGGTGGATGATTTTAGCTCAAATGGTGAGCAACTTGATCAAGGAATAATAGTAAAAATGACTCTTTATTGACTGTGCTAGGCTGGAAAGGGGTTTTACCTTAGAGTTTAGGACACTTTGGGCTTCTCATGTAGGAAAAAAGGAAGGGATCATTTATTAAAGGCCTGTTTGTACTGGGTACATTAATCTTCTCAAAGTCAAGACAGAGGATCATCATCTCGATTACGCAGATGAAGAAATTAAGACACAGGGAAATAACATAGTGTGTCCAGATTGCATGATGAGTCAGTGGGGGAGCTGAGGCAGGCCCAGGACTACATGACTCCGCAGTCACCTCTGCCCTTTCCATGCACCATGAGAGAGACCTGAGGGACTGAGGTGGGGTCCAAAGTAGGATCTCAGACACCAAGAAGGGATCTGGAGCCCTTTGATTCCAGGTTCTGACCACTGCAGGACTCGCAAATCTACTCTTCCTCTGAGAAAGAAACCAGCAAGAATCTCATCTCTTGGCCATGGAGGGGGCAGAAAGTAGGGGGAGGTCTTGATAAACCCAACCAAGTACACACATAGTTCTTGGGGCAGCTTGGCATGGTGGGTAAACAAGACATGGGTTCACATCCAGAGTATGTGGCTTACTAGATGTGTGACTTGGAAAGAATACCCTCTTTCTGGGCCTCAGTTTTTCACTTGTGAAGTGGGAATACCGAAGTGCCTACCTCATAGGATTCTTTGAGAATTAAATGAATTAATATTATCAATGAATAACTCAGAGTTATTTGGTTACATATTTTAAACACTGCTTAGCGATTTGCATGCAAGTTGTTTTCATACATATGAGGAAGTCAACTGGTAGGCTGAGTCCAAGAACAAATGCATAGACAGGCTGGTAAAAGAGAGAGGAGAGAGGGAAGGAAAAACTGCAAACAATCTGGGAAAAGTGAATCTTGTTTGCATAATTTTGGAGATAAACTCATTAGCTAGAAACTGGCAAAGAGATTAGTCTGGGAGTTCTGTCTCAATTGGTCCTTGAGTTGGCCAAGTAGGAATATCTAAAACAAGACACAATAACTTCAGTTGTTTATGGATTCTCCAGAAAATCTTGACGTTTTCACTGTAGAGAAGACATTCCAGGCCGTCTCTGCAATGTCTGTCCGTCAGCACTTCTACCTCAGTTAGGTTAAGTCTATCCCACTCATTCTACCCTAAATTTTTCAACATACATGAAGCACGTGTAACAGTGCCTGGCACATAGTAAGCAGTATTATTAGTTCAAGATAGTTTAACTTCGAGGGGAAGGAGAGTAAGAATGGTAACATTAAGCCTAAGGATGGAAGGGAGAGGAAAAGCAGGTGCAGGGGAAACACTATCTGTCTTCTCAGTCAACGCTGGAGAACTGCTCATCCTAAACTGTAAGTAGTCCAACCACATAATAGTATGAAATTATTGTACCACGTTGATTATTGCACTCAGAATTTCCATAGATGTGCGTTTGGTTGGCAGAAGAACTAAAGGCACACTTGGATGACGAGATTAAGCTTTACAACCAGAAGTATCCAGGACTACTGAAAATAATACGGCATACCGAGAGAAAAGGTCTGGCTCAAGCACGCAACACTGGCAGGGAAGTGGCCACAGCTGATGTGGTCGCCATCTTGGATGCTCATGTTGAAGTGAACGTTGGATGGTAAGGCTCCAAGAGGTTTTCTCTTCCGGGAAAGGGGAGAAAAGAGACATTGTACAGTACATGTACTGAATACAAGAGAGGATATTGTGGAAACAAGGAAGACCAACACCAGACCTTAAACAAAGGGGAGCGCCAAAGACAGGATGCTTTTACTCAGGGATTTTGGTTGGCTAAGGGAAGTAGTCTAGTGCTAGAGAAAAAGCAATGGAATTGGAGTATTGACAGTTGGATCCCAATCAAAACTTTGTGAAATATTTTGTGACTTTGAATAAGTCACTTCACCTAACTAGACATTTATGTCCTTATCTGTAAAATGAAGAGATTATCTTTTTGGTAACTCTGAAGGTTTTTCTCAACTCTGAATTGCGGGATACAAAGAGAGCTGTCTTCTTTAGAGAATGTGGGGAATCAGATAGTAAAGAGACATCATTTTGGAGACAGGGAGACCCAAGAGATAATGTAAATTCAGGCTGAATACTGATAGTCCTGGTTCACAATAGCTCAGGGGCGGGTACTAATTTTGGGGTACTAGTTTCAAATCTGCTCTTGACGTGGGTCATCTGCTAGCAGCCCTAGCTATCTTGAAAGCTTCAGAGATTCTCTGCACTCTGGGGAGTCCTACTCACCACCCAGCACTGCCCCAAAGAAGAAGGTGCTCAGCGTCAGGGCAAGGTGCTGGGAGCAGCTTTGTCCGCTTGCTTCTGCTGCTTGCCCGCGTAACCAGCCTGGGTTTGTCACACATTCTTCTTCCAGGGCAGAGCCTATCTTGGCTCGGATTCAGGAAGACCGCACTGTGATTGTGTCTCCTGTGTTTGACAACATTCGTTTTGACACTTTTGAACTGGATAAGTATGCACTGGCAGTTGATGGGTTTAACTGGGAATTATGGTGCCGCTATGATCCACTGCCAAACGCCTGGATCGATCTGCATGACGTCACCGCTCCAGTGAAGTAAGTCTGAGTGGGCACAGGAAACTTGGCTAGCACACGAGAAGTCAGGAATGGGTGGTGTGGGCTTTGTTCATCTTTCGTGGTAGTGGTGGGAGGGGTGTGGGAGAAATGGAGGAGGTGGGGTGAAGGATAGAGGCTAGAGTAAAAAAAAGCTGATCCCAGATAAGAAATCACAGACACTTTGGGCTATTTAAGGGCTTTCAAGTAAAATAAAGCAAAGTATATAATGTTCTAGAAAACATTTGGGCCACTTTAAACATTTATCAGGCTATGTAGTAGGAGGACCAAGGTGAAAAAGATGTAATTTCAATCGAATTTGAGAAGGGTTATGACAGCACGGGGGTGAGGGAAGAGTATATGCTCTTAGTCCACACTGAGGGTTTAGGGAAAGTCTTCCGGAGAAGAAGCAGCTTGGGTAGAGTTTTGAAGGCCAAGCCATCATATGGGCTTCCCACTCCTCACCTCCATCCTGACCCATTCCTCACTGAGGGGTTAGTAACGCTCTTGCTGTGTGCTCCACAGGAGTCCTTCCATCATGGGCATCCTGGCTGCCAACAGGCTCTTCTTGGGAGAGATTGGATCTCTGGATGGTGGGATGCTGGTCTATGGAGGAGAGAATGTGGAACTTAGCCTGCGGGTGGGTACACTTCCATTCTTGTTATGGGACAAAGCAGAAGGGGAAATAATAGGAGGGGAGTAGGATCTCTGGAATCCTGGAACAAGGCTAAATGTCATTGGCTCAAGTGGTGGACAAATTCTTATGTTTCCATGTCCCTAGGGGTAGGCAGTAGGACTTCTGGAGTGGAGCTTCCTGGTACAGGTCATTCTAACCTGGGAGATATGGGTGGGATGGGGTAGAGTTGAAGCTCAGCAGACAGTGCCCCTATTTCCCTTGGGGACTCCAGGCATTTTCCAAGCATCTCCTGGGATAAACCAACTTTGGGACAGACAACTCTCAACAAGACCAGTCAAAGAGGAACCGGAATGGGCAGAAGGACCAGGGGATACAGATGTGTGGGCAGCCAGCCTGCTCCTGTATGGACAGCTAGAGCAGCCGACACAATGACAGAAATTTGTGCTGAGATATAGTCTAGTCTGAGACAAACAGCCAGTGATGGGTCGTACAGCAATGAAATCCTGAAGCCAGTTCTAGTTCTGACCAACTTCTTGGCCATCCGGAACAACACTGGCTTCACACTTCAGCAGTGATCCTTCATGTCTGCCCCTGACGGCTTCTCGTGCTTTCTCAGGCCAAATGAACAACCTGAATTTTTGTGCTCTATAAAGGAATTCAGGGTGTAAACTAAGACACCTGGAGAAATCCCAAGTGCAGAGTATCAGTTAATATCGCCACAAAAATGCTGTGTAACGAACCACCCCAAACTCAGTGACTTCAAACAACAGTCATTATTTTCACAGATCTGCTGGTCCAGCTGGGCTTGCGCGGAGTGGCTCTGTTCCACCTGTGTTCCTTCCGGCCCATGCTGATGAGGCAGCAGCTCCCTTAGTAAAGCTCTTCTTATGGTGCAATAGAGGGCATGTGGAACCACGTGAGGCTTTTTAAGGCCTAGGTTTGGAACTAACACATTATTGCTTCTGCCTTATCTCATTTGTCGAAGTCAGTCACATGGCCAAGCCCAAAACCAAGGGGTGGTGGGGTATCTTCTGTCTACAATGAAGCCCTGAAGACACGTATGAAGAATTGGGGCCAATAAATCCAACCCATCACAATCAGTTGGGAACAGGTTTCATGCATAAAACGTGCCTTCCATAGTATCCCTTTTGCCTCTCCTGTATGGTCTACAGGCCTTCGGCAGAAGGCCCTGATCCTGGGGTTTGTGATTGTTCTTGTTAATTTATCCTTCTTTCATCTTCCATCCTAAAGCTGAATTCTTAAAAGAGCCAGCATAAGGTAGTGAAAATTATACAGAGCCAGACTTAAGTCCAAATCCTACTCTACCACTTGAAAGTTTGTATTATCTTGGGCAACATGCCAGCTCTCTAAGCCATACCTGCTACATCAAACTCTAGCATGGTGATTGAAACACGGCTCACACTCAGTAAATGGTTAAGGATAAGAATAGCAATAATAAGCATGTGAGGGTGGCACTGTGAAAAATGCTGGACCTGGGTTCTAATCCTGGCTCTGCTAACCCCTCGTGGACTGAGCTTCTATAAAATGGCCTTTTTCCCCCCTCCCATCTCAGAAATTCTGTTCCAGAGACCAGGTGATCTCTGGTCCATTGTAGTGTCTGGAAGAACAAGATAATTTTCTGCTTAAAGCTTATTCAGGTCTACTCCCTTCAATTTCTTTCCAATTAAGACTGATGACCCTACAGCAACATATTATACCCACTTAGGACCCACCCAGAACCCTACCTTTATATATTAACAGGACTGTTAGTCCTCATGTGGGTTATACCTTAAGCCACAGTCATTCTTTTGCAGAGAAAACTATTTTTTGCATGGTGTTCTTAGTCAGTTTTCCCATTTGTGAAATGAAGAGAAGCACCCCTCTTTCATCTTCCTCATAAGGATGATGATGTAGTTAAAATGTAATAAGTAATTTGAAATGATTTATAAAAATATTAATTAGAATCCTTGTTTGGCTTCTGTGACAGAGGCCAAAATAACAGGTTTAAACAAGACAGAAATTAATTTCTCTTTTCCATATCAGTTTGAACATAAGCAGTTCAAGATTGAGATGACAGCTCCAGGGTGACGGGGCCTAAGAGTCTTCCGTCTTGTAATTCTACTACACTCAGCGCCACATCTGTATTCTAGTCAGTAGGAAGAGAAAAGGGAAAGAGAGAGCATGCTCTTTCTTTTTAAGGGCAGTACCTGAAAATTGTGTATATCATTTCCCCTCGCATTCCATTGGCCACTGCTGGTCATATGGCCAAACCTACATGCAAAAGAATCTGGAAAATGTAGATTTCAGGTAGTTGGTTATCTGTGCAATTATTCTTTTCATAACTATCGATGTAGAGGGGAACAGATATTGGGGGTACAATTGGTTTCTAACACCAAAATATAAATACAGAAATAACGATTTTATGCATGGATTTAGCAAAGTCCTAAGGTGACCCTAGTTACATTGTGGCTGGAGTTCTCCCACCTACCAGAACTTCCCATTAATTTGGCTGGAACCCCAATTCCACAACTTCTGGCCAAAAGCCCTTCCTGCCATTTCTGGGGTCTCCGCACTTTTCTCTGCTCTCCCCTTCTGTGTCTAGGCTGCTTCTCTCTGTCTCCATTCCCCCAGTGCACACGTGAACTTTGCCATTTTAGTTCCCACAAGAAATCCTCTTTCTTTTAGCATTTTGTGATTTTTTAAAGCGATTTTGCTAGAAATGTAGGGAGTATTGGGGAAGGGTCATTCCTTTCCTATTCTTGGATAAAACAGTTCTACCCGCAGCCAGGCTCCTTGGTTTGTGTGTGTATTTTCCTTTTGAAATCTCTCAGCACTTGTTAGGATCTGTCTTTCTTTGATAACAGATCTTGGAGAGCATCAGAGCTGCTTGGAGAGTTTTAGTCTGACATCTAGAGGCCACGGCAGTGATGGCGTGCTTGGATGTGTATAAATGGAGATGGAGTGTTGGGGCTGATAGACAAGAAGGGGAAGCCAGCATTTGTGGAGCACCCTGTGCATTTCTGGCACTGTGTGTTCACTGCGTGAACTGCCTGGGTTCAGAATCCAGCCCTATCATTTGCTAGCTGGTAAACGTGGGCAAGTTACTTAAATGGGGATAATAATACCTACATGGTGAGGGTGAAATTCATGAAAAATATTAGGATAGTATGTGGCACAAAGCAAGTCACTGTCATTATAAGCAGAAACTTCATGTCTCTGTGTGTGTGTCAGAGAGAAAGAGAGAGAGAATGGGAAAGCATTTGGCAAGTGGGAGTAAACTGAGAGAGTAAAATCTGAAAACTTAGGGTCAAGGATAATAGTTAACATTACTTCATAAAGGACAATGCTGGCTTCTATGTTTTCACTCGATTTAACGTTTCTTGTGCCAAAGATTAATTTTTGTCCCCTAAACTCCTGTGGAGTGGAAATCTCCATCAACTAGCAAAATTGAAATAATGTTGCATTTGGATTTTTAAATGTTTGACTGCAGAAGATAAAATCTGAAAACAAATTAGACGTAACCTCCACATGATTCTGGGAATGAATGAGGAGACATGGAGGAGGGTAACGGAAGAAAAGATTTACTTCAAGTTCATAATTGTAGAAGCTGCGGGTTACCGTATTTGTTATGCTGTTCCGTCCTGACAACCCGCATGGTGGGTGCGCCCTTTTGCGGATGAGCGAGCTGAGGTTCAGCGAGTGGAGTATTTTGCCCCTCGTTGCCAGGTGTGCAGTGATAGAGTCAGGATTTGAACACAGGCCACTCTGACTTGAGAACCTGGCTGTTTTTCACTCTACTGTCTGGGTTGTGGAGGTGCTGAGGGAGGGGAATCTGTGGGTTCAAAAGAGGAGGAAGGAATGAAAAACATTTGAAAGTCTGATAAGGGGACTGACCTCTCAGGTGGCTGACTGAACCAGCAGGGCGTAAGTTTCTCACCCTCAGCCCAATATGAGTGCAGTAGGTTGCTAGTCACCACTGATGGGCTAATGATCTCCCGGAAACTGCAGCTCACTTGGGCAACTATGGAGAGAAGACACTGGAGCCATTATATCTCTCTAATGTTGTTAGATGGTTCTATCTTCTTTTGAGATAAAGACCATATTTTTAAGCCAAATATTAGAATGTGTGGTCTGACAATTATGTTTGTACTCATCAGGATGACAAGGAGGAATGTTTACAATTAGATCATAAGTCATGGTATCTCTTGGTCAAAAATTACCTGTATTAGTTATCCACTGCTGTGTAAGAAAATTATGACTTAGTGGCTTAAAGCAGGACACATTTATTATCTGACAGTTTCTGTGGGTCAGGAGTCCATGCCTCGCTTAGCTGGGTCCTCTGCAAGGCTGCAGTCAAGGTGTTGGCCAGGGTTTTGTTCTCATCTAGGATTGACTGGGAAAGGATCTGCTTCCAAGCTCATGTGGTTGTTGACAGCATTCTGTCCCTTGAAATCGTCCAAACTGAAGAAGGATTCAAGTATTTTCTGGCTATCAGTTGGAAGCTGCCCTTACTTTCTTGGCACGTGGCCCTCTCCACGTGGTGGCTCACAACATGGTGGTTTCCTTCTTCAAAGCCAGTGGGAGAGAAGGTCTCCTAGTAAGGTGGACCCTGCCTTCTTGTGTGACGTAATCACACTCGTGTAATCGTGTACATATTGCTACCTCTGTCATACTCTGTTGGTTAGGAGATTACAAGCCCCCACTCAAGGGGAGGGGATTCAGGAAGGGTGTGAACACTAGTGGCGGGGGCCACCTGAGAATCTGTTGACCACATTGCCTTACATCCAGCATGCAGGACAGAGAGAGTCATGGGAAGACAGGTCCAGCGAGAGTGGCTCAGGGCATGGTGCGTCTCAGGACTTGGCACTTTCTTTGGTGATAAAGGAGCAGGGGCAACCCCTCCTTTATCTGTTCAGGAGGACTTCTTGAAGGAGGTACGATTTCTGGAACTGTCTGAATGACAGGAAAGAAGCAGTCTGGTAAACTTCCATGGAAAGTTATTTTAAATAAGTAGATTGGGAGGCAGCATAGAGATGTGAGTGGGAGGACTGAATTTACACTCTTTAAAAAATGGTTCCAGGGGCCAGCCCAGTGATGTAGTGGTTAAGTTCACACACTCCACTTTGGCAGCCTGGCGTTCACTGGTTTGGATCCCAGCTGCGGACCTACACACCACTCACCAAGCCATGTTGTGGTGACATCCCATATACAAAATAGAGGAAGGTTGGCACAGATGTTAGCTCAAGGCCAATCTTCCTCACGAAAAAAAAAAGGGTTCCAAAATGTGGTCCCTGTGAGTCAACAAGTTATGCAACTTATTGGCCATGGGGTCCAGCCTGCCCAGATGATTCTTTTTCTTCTCTTGCAGGTGTGGCAGTGTGGAGGGAGAATCGAGGTCTTGCCCTGCTCCCGGATTGCTCACCTAGAGAGACAACACAAGCCGTATGCCTTGGATCTGAGTCCTGTCTTGAAGCGCAATGCTCTGAGAGTGGCCGAAATCTGGATGGATGAGTACAAAGACATGGTCTACCTCGCCTGGAACATACCTCTCCAGGTTCGTCATGGCAATGAACAGAAGCGGAGAAGAGCAAAGGAGGAAGAGGCGGTGGGAATGGTGGTAAATGGGAGGGGGTAGGGCAAAGTGCCCTCCCAGCCCTGAAGAGTTAGGGCAAAGTCCTGATGGTGTAATGGTAATGACACTTAGCATTCATGTAGCAGTACTGTGTTCCAGGCACTCACTAATCATTACAACGTACCTACAGGGTAAGTTTTATTTTTATTATTCTAAGTTTACCAAAGAAGAAACAGAAGCACAGAAAGGAACTTGTTTTAAGGTAATAAGGTAGTAAGCACCAAAGATAAGATTCAAAGCAAAGAATCTTCTAGATTCCATGTTTTTCATTCATCTTCTATACTGGGAGATTCCTTGCAGGGCACGGTTGGACATCAGGAATTTGCTATCTTACGAGGATATATATAAAGTAGAGGAAGATGGGCACAGATGTTAGCTCAGGGCCAGTCTCCCTCAGAAAAAAGAAGAGGATTGGCAGCAGTTAGCTCAGGGCTAATCTTCCTCAAAAAAAAAGAAAAAGAGGATGTAAACATGGCAGGCAGGATGTGGGATGGTGGGAGCAGGGAGCGTAATCCTATTGGATGCACATGAATGAGGATGACCTTCTTGGCTAAGGCCACATCTTTTGTCCCAGCTGCCCGAGGTGGCGTGATACGCTGTCTTCTGTTCCTGAGCTGTGGCTTTCGGCTCAAGCATTCTTTCACTTTGATTCCACACAAATATCACTTCTAGAAAATCTCCTTTGACCTTCATATGTTGCTGCCAGAATATTCTTTTTGAAAGCCTTTTCTAGCCATCATGAGGAGTATTTTGGGCCTTGTTGGTGGAAATATTATCTCAAACAGGAGCAGTCTGCACCAGTTTGCTAAAGACAAGAAATAAACCTGAGTGACACCACGAGGCAGGCCCTGCAAGTGCCTTTGAAACCAGCAGAGATTTCTAGGGTCAAGCTTTTTCCACTTTCCCTGGAAAACTGGAAATTATCAAAGTTACCTCACAGGCTCTCAGGAAAATCCTCAGTCCGCTCATGCATCACCCATAGCCTTTGGTGGAGTCAAGGACGTTTCAAGGCCCAGAAATGCTCCATGTTTTGTTTACAGAAGTCTGGAATCGATTATGGAGACATTTCTTCCAGAATGGCCCTCCGGGAGAAACTGAAATGTCAAACTTTTGACTGGTATCTGAAAAATGTTTACCCAGTCCTGAAGCCCATCCACAGCATTGTGGGCTACGGAAGAGTACGTATCATGAAATTGTGATTTTAAATGTTTGACTGTAAAAGTCAGTGAGACCTGAATCACATGACTGCCCAGGCAAGGGTTTCCAAACCCGTCCTGCGCAGGATTCCCTTGCTACCCCCAACTTCTTCCTCAGCTTATTGCCCTTGGACTCTCTTGGTTTCCCCTTGTCTCCTGCTCCCCAGGCCCCCTCTCTTTTCCTTCTCTCTGCCTCTAGCTCCATATTGCGCACTGCAGCCCTTGGTCTGACCCTCTCAGTTTCTCAGCCAACCAGGGTGTTGGGCCTTGCCCACCTGAACGCGGGCATAGATGCCCCTGCTCTGTCGGTGCTGCAATGGTCTGAGGGGGTGAGTGTTCCCAGGAAGTGGGCATCACAGCGGTGCCTCACTTCAGCGTTTGGAAAAAGGCAGCCAGGATCCCAACCTCCTGCTCCCTTGTGGCTGGTAATGTCTGCAGTCCTTGGAATACTGGGGAAAATACAGGGCCTGGGGAGGCTTGAGGGCCCTCTTTCTCTGCCTCTTTCCAACAGTGTTGTCATCTGTTTTGCCCCTTCAGATGAAAAACCCATTGGATGAAAATGTGTGCTTGGATCAGGGACCTACTTCAGGCAACACGCCCATCATGTTTTACTGTCATGAATACAGTACACAGGTATCTTCCACAATCTTCCCCACTCCAAGAGATGGAGCCTGTCGTGGCTCAGCCCCCGGCAACTGCTGCCAGATTTAGACTCAGCGTTAGATGATGTGGAGGCAGGAGCTGGGCATCCTGGGTAATGGGTAAGGATGAAACCCAAACCTGTACTTGTAACTAAGCACTTCGATGTTCATTCAAAAAATCATGGCATGATAGTTCCATTTCAGGTACCGGGTGGCTGGGCAGAAAGGCTATGCTCTGTTGTATTCATTCACCATGATAATATTTTCATTGACAATAACCTCCAATCCTTTCTTTTCCCCCTCCTCCCACTGCCCCCTCCATCCTTCCTTTGCCCCTTGTACGCCTGGAATGTGGGGAGGTGACATTACCTGTGGCTTCTTCTGTAGAGAAGGAAACAGGGCTAGAGAAGAGAGAGGCTAAATGGAAGTCTCTCTATGGGATAAAAGAGATCTGGCACTGCTGGAGGGTGCAACCAAGGGACTCTTTTTCCCTGAGAATATTCACATCCATCATGTTACTCTGCATGCTGCCCCCGCAGGAACCTTTTGAGGTATGCAGGATAGATAGCATTTCCACTTGACAAATGGAAAAACAGATACAAAACCAACCTACTTGCCCAAGATCACTGAGCAAGGCAGTGTCAGGGGGAGATTTGAGAGGTTTCCTGACGACAAACCCATAGCTGGGGTGTACAGTGACAGCTTCTGAAGTTCAGCTGTGTTTTCTTCTTTTTTTCAAAGATAAACTCCCTCATTGTGCACGTTGGAGCCCTTGTATGGAAGGAAGCAGGATAGCACCCCCTCCTCATGCCTAGTCTTCTTCCTAGAATCAACTAGGGGTTGGGGAGAAGGAAGCAGAGGTGACTCCTCATTACCCAGGAAAGTTCAGTGCTCCCCAGGGCAGCTGAGTATCCAGAGGCCCCGACGGCAGTCTCCAAGCCCTCTATAAGGTCAAGGGCCTCCCCACTGACTGTGTCTATGGCAGGTCCCTTTGCTCTCTTTTAGAATGTCTACTACCACCTAACTGGGGAATTCTATGTGGGACCACTGATGGCACAAGTAGGTGTTGATGACCGCTGCCTGACAGACCCCGGCTATGGGGAGGAGCCTGTGTTAAACCCGTGTTCCAAGGCAGCTGAAAATAGACTGCACATATACTGGGATTTTAAGCCGGTAAGTCACATGTGGTTTTAAAGGACAGGTATATTCAAATATAGTCTGAGAGGTTCGGATTTGATTTGACAGGGTTTTGGAAAGATTAATTTTGTGGCAGTATGCAGGAAAAAGACTGGAAACAGGGAACTGAGCATGAACCACCGAATCTGTTGACTAAGGTGGGGTGGTTAAGAGGAAGAAATATTGGAATCTGTTATAGTTGAACAGTTAAGGGTTTGAGTTCATATCCTAGCTCAGTTATCTTTAGCAATTTTCTTACCGTCTCAGACTCAGTGTCCTCGTCTGTAAAGTGGAGATGACGTCATCTACTTTAGGAGTCTGTGGGAAGGATTAAATGAGATACCGTGTGTAAAGCATTTAGCATGGTGCCTGGCACATGGAAAATGTTCAATAAACATTAGCCTTTGCAATTAGCTTTATTATTAATGATAATCAGAGAGTCTGGAGGGCTGGGCTAAAATTTGACAGGGACTAATGTAAAAGCCCTGACTTTAACTTCAACATCAATTGCCTAAGTGTAGGGTGGAGGGAATATGGCAGAATTCTTGTGACAATGACATGAGGGATTTGGCTGACCACAGTCTACGTGCGAACTTACGGTAGAGGGGGCTGCCTTCTTCAGCCACGTTGGCAGGAATGAGATGTCCTCACAGAGGGGGTGATGCTGTGCCTGTGAACGCATCTCTGAGCACGTTGGTACTGCGTAGGTTCAGGAGCCACATTTTGAGAGACGTGGCCCATCTGGCTCAGTAAGTCCTAACTTAAAGCTACTAATCCCTTTGAGAATCTGCTCCTAGCTATGGACCCTTTCCAGAAAAACATATATATGCACCATTTTGCTTACAATTTCAGAGAGTTTTTGGATCCTAGATTAAGTCTCTTCGAGCTAGACGATATCAGGGAGAAGAAGACGGCTAAGTCCTGTCTTCCTGCTCTGAGCTCCAGCTCTAGGGAGCCACGTGTGATTCCAGGAAAGGTCGCATTCCCTCTCGTCCGGGTTGTCCCCTCTCCTCCCACCTCTTTACCAGGCCAACCACAAAGTGTTGCTCTGGCCTCAGACATTGTCTTCTTTGAGAAGCCATCTCTGACTCCATAGGACTGGGATGGGTGATTCTTCCGTGTGTTCTCGGGTCCCTCTTACAGGCCTTGTCTCTCTCTCTCTTCTAACTGCCTCCTCTCTTGCTGCTTTTCCTCACCAGACTGTGCGCTGAAGGGCAGGCTCTGGGTTTAGTTGGTTGTTTTCTCTCTGGCATCTAGCACGGTACCCAGAAGATTGCAGACCTGGAGGTCTACCTGGAGCTCTAGCTTGGAGAGGTGAACCTAGAGAAAAGATGATGCTGTCTTCATGAGGAGGAGAAAGTAGACTTCTTCAGTGTCTACAGGAGGGCGGAACCGAGACTGTGGTTAGAGATCAAGAAGGCAGAGTTTGACTTAACGTAAGGGGCAGGGGGGGATTCTCCAGTAGTTTAACAGGTTAAGTCCTACAGAAGAATAGGCTGCCCAGCAAGGTGGTGAGCTCACCGTCAATCGTAGTCACCAAGCACAGTGTATTTGAGCATCTGACAGGCCAAGTGTGCTAAATGTGAGTTTTTGACATCCTTAGGGGTGTCTTTTGTGTATAGAAAATACAATTACAGGTTTACTTTGGTTTAGAAAAATTAATATCCAGTTTATTAAAGTTAAATTAAAGAACTCTAGTTTTTTTTAAGCTTTTATGTTCAGTTTACAAATCTCTCTTTTTTTTTTTTTTTTTTTTTAAGGTTTGGCACCTGGGCTAACAACTGTTGCCAATCTTTTTTTTTTTTTCCTGCTTTTTCTCCCCAAACCCCCCTGTACACAGTTGCATATCTTAGTTGCCGGTCCTTCTAGTTGTGGGATGTGGGACGCCGCCTCGATGTGGCCTGACAAGCGGTGCCATGTCTGCGCCCAGGATCCGAACCCTGGGCAGCCGCAGCCGAGCGCATGAACTTAACCACTCGGCCACGGAGCCAGCCCCCCAAATCTTATTTTATTTATAAACCTAGCAAGTTTTAACAGTCATTTTTTTTGTTTTCAATCTGTATGATTTTGTCTGTTTTGCTTTTTTAAATTTGCTTGTTGCTTTGTTACGTTGGCTAGAATTTCTAGTATTACACTGAATAAGTGTGGTGAGAGTGGGCATCCTTGCTTTGTTCCCAAATGTAGGAGGAAAGCATTGAATCTTCCACAATTAAGGATAACATTAGCTGTAGATTTTTTTGTAGGTGCTTTTTACCAAACTGGAGTAATTTCCCTGTATTTCTACCTTGCTAAGTTTTTTTTTTATCATGAATATGAGTTGGATTTTGTCAAATACTTTTTCTGTGTCAATTGATATGTTCATGTTTTTTCTTCTTTGGCTTGTTGGTATGATGGATGACACTGATTAATTTTCAAATGTTGAACCAGTCTTGTATCCTGGGAATAAATCGCACTTAGTTGTGGTGTGTACTTCTTTTCATACTTTGTTGGATTTGGTTTCCTAGCATTTTGTTGAAGATTTTTGTGTCTAAGTTCATTAGAGATAATGGCCTGTGGGATTTTTTTTGTTTTTGGTACTGTCTTTGGTTTTAGTATCAGAGTAATATTGGCCCATAAAGTGAGTTGGGAAGTGTTCCCTCTTCCTCTTGATAAATTTGTCCTTTGACAAAAATTGCAGAATAGAGCAATTTCTGGACGAAGCACTTTCTGGAAGAGATTTTCTAGAAGAGATTGTCTTAAATTGATGTTAATCTTTCTTTAAATACTTCGCATAATTCTCCAGTAAAACCACATGGGTGTGGAGATTTCTTTTTCAGGAGCTTTTAAATCATGAATTGAAATATTTTTTAATGGTACAGGACTATTTAGAGTATTCATTTAGTTGATTATGCCGATTGTATTTTGGTGATTTGTGGTTTTTAAGGAATTAGTCCATTTCATCAAACTTATGAGTATAAAGTTATTTGTTGTCTTTTATGTATGTATGTATGTATGTATGTATTTATATTGAGATATAATTGATGTATTATGTTAGTAGTGATGTATACATAATATACATAATTTATGTATATCAATAAGTCTAACTAACATCCATCACCACACATAGTTACAAAAAATTTTTTTCTTGTGCTGAGAACTTTTAAGATCTACTTTCTTAGCAACTTTAAAGAGGGTTTTACAAGTTAAGAAATTTCCTTAAACATTACAGACTGTATTTATAAATTTCCTTTCTTAAGCACTCAATTTTCTGACTTTAAATTGAATGATTCTTAGGTTCTCTTAAATGTTTCAAAAGTGTTTGGAATCTAGTAAAATTTTGACATCAAATCACAAATTTAATTATTCAATTACACATTTTTAAATTGGTGTCACAAAGCTAGTCCGTAAGACAATTTTTCTGCAACATAGCAATACTTAAACATAGTCAATAAACACAGAATCTTTAACAAATACTACGTGTTTGATTCCCTTAACATCTATACTTTACCCTAAATCTCCTGGGAATGAAAGCTACCACTTACGCTAAAGAAACAATTATGACATCCCAAACATTTTGAAGGTTGGCTTTCCAGAAGAATTTTGGAAGGTCACTTTCTCGGCCGCCTCAAGCTGCTGGCAGAGGATGGATTTTGGCAGGTGTGAGAGCTTGAGCTGCAGGATACCAGCAGAATCGTGCCCACCACTCTGATGTCCAGGCTGGGTCTTTTTGTGTCACTATGTCAAGAACTCCAAAAGTTAGTGAAGGAGGTGGTCATGTAGCTTATGGTGTCCTGCCTGATTTTAAGTCAGTTTTAAGTGAATTGAGTCTATCCGAGCCTTTCATATCCATCTTATCTCTTAGGATCACAGTTCTTTCAGATATGAAAACGATGTTTGATTGAATGTTGGGTCCCTTTGATGCTCTATTTACTTTGCAGACACAACTTACACATTCACTCTACTAAAAAGCTACCAAAGGTATTTTCCAGAATTGAGAGACAAGTAAGACTAGGTAATCCCTTTCTTTTCTTCCAATTTCATGATCAATTTTTTGAGTCAACCAGAGGAGCTTATGACCCCTGAAGACCATGAGAGAGACAATACCAGTGACTGAGAAGGGACCCAATTGAAGAGATGAGACCTGTTGAAGACATCTGGATTTTGAGATGAGGAGCATAAAGCTGAAGGCAGAAACTGCAGCCTTGCGAGACGTTTGGTCCTGTCCAAAACATCCACGAATGTATTTGGTCCATGCCAAATGGTTTTGAACAGGATCAAATATCAAGGACCTTTTGGCGTGGACCCAACGTCTCCGTGGATGTTTTGGAGAGGACCAAATATGAGCAGATATTGAGGGCTTTTTCATGTGAATCAAATGTCTTATGGACGTTTGGGACAGGCCCAAATGTCTGCTAATTGATATGCAGCTGAAATAAAGGAGAGTTTGGGTGGAGGTCATCTTTTGGAAGTCTTCCAGATGGAGTGACGGCTCAGGACACAAAGAGCATCTCTGGGAGAGAGAGTGAGAAGGGGAGGAGCGCTCACAGTGAGGGCTCCAGAAGGGAAGAGGAAGACGCCGCTGAGGGAGCACTCTCACACGTTGCTGGTGGGCAGAGTTCCAGAAAGTAATTCAGCTCTCTGTAGGAAAATCCCGGATCCTCATCAAAACCCCAAAACTGACAATGCCCCCTTCTAAGGCACTAATTCCCTTTTAAGACAATATCTTAATTTAAGAAATAATATAGAATGTAGGTCAAGATTAATATAGAAAATATCTTAATATTTATCACAACAAAATATTAGGAAAAATTAAATGTCCAATGGTAGGAGAGATTTTTGTTCATTCCCTTGACCTGAACACTATATAGCCCTTCAAATTATATTCTCAAAAAGTATATTTTCAAAAAACTAATGAAATTGGAAAATGCACAAGATATAATGTTAAATTTAAAAAGCAAGATATAAAAACTGTATGTACAATGTTATCACATTGTAAGTACTTCTAATTTTTAAAGTGTTTTCCAAGTTAAAAAAAATGAGCACGTATTCCTTTTATAAAAGAGAAAAAGAAACAGAAACAAAAATTCCTTAAAAACTGCTAGATAACATCTCCCAAATAAAAACCAAACCAAAAACATATAAGATCCAGATGAGCACAATGTAAAAGAAACGGGAGAAGGGCCTGAAGAGGTCGTAAGGAATACTGCCAGCGCATACGTCACACAGAAGCAGAGAGAGAATCGACTACCCAAAAGGCCACAATAAATTATGAGAGCCAAGATTTATTGAGTACGTATATGTACCAGGCACTTGGTTAAATATTATCTAATTTAGTCCTTATGTAAATCTTATAAGAGGGGTATTATCATTAGCTACTTCACCTTTGAAGTAACTAAAGCACAGAGAAGTCAAATAATACTCCCAAGGTCACACAGCATAGTAAATGTCCGGAATTCGAACACAGAATCGCATCCACTGTTTGTTATTGCCTCACTGCTTGAGAAGTTTGATTCTGAAAGGGAGAAAAACACTGAATGTTGGTTGAAAAGAAGAGTTAAGGGTTTTGCTCCCTCTAATATTGGGACATTTGGATACATTTAAAGTTAAAAGAAAAGGAATCTGCCAAGAGGGAGAGCTAAAAGAAGGATATTAGACAGGCATAGTGTTTCTCGGCATCAGCGGTGGCTGCGCTCAGAGCACAGGGGCTGCTGGCAGTAGAGACAAGCTCAGGGCAGCCCCTTTGAGACCATGCATGCGCATCGCCCTGAGGATTGCTCGTGGCATTCGGGTGTGGGGCTAGATTGACCGGAAGCATGGTCCTCTTGACCAAGTGAGAAACGAAAGCATTGAGCGACAGCGAGCGTCCAGGGTGGGGTCGGCGGTGAAGCTGCTGAGGCGGCCTGCGGAGGGGCCTGAGGCCAGCCGGCTGGGCGGACCCTCTCCAGGAGAGCTCTGGTCTGCAGGCGGGGCGAGAGGCGCCGCGGGGGTGACAGGAGGAGTTCAAGAAGCGGGAGACCCGCCCTGAGTGGCCGACGACGCTGCGCGGCCGCACCCGGGGAGCGGGGGACGGTGTGGCCAGGGCCGGGCGAATTTGGGGGAGCATGGCGCTGGGGGCAGTTTGCGAGTGGACGAGATGGGAGGCGGGCGGGATGGTTGGAGGGGAGCAGGGATTTGCACGTAGCGCTGCAGCCCGCGTGATGTGCAAACGCTCGGAGGAACTGAGAGGTCAGGGCTTCTCTTTAGAGCCCCCAGGGGAGGCCGTGAACTCTGAGGATGATAGCAGAGGCCGGGCTGGATGAAGGGAAAAATCTTCGTGCAGGCACTCAAATCCATCAGGTGAGTGATCCTGCAAAGGGGGTAGAGAGGGGTGAGGGGCATGGGAGGGCGGGCAGAGGACAGGGCGGGGACAGATGGCGTGATCTTCAGTTGTTGAGCCAAGGAGACAAGGAGGAAAGACTCTTCTTTTCAACCAACATTCAGAGTTTTTCTCCCTTTCGGAATCAAACTTCTCGCCTCCAGCCCCCCTGAGCTCTTTGCTCCTTCTTCCCCCGTTAGAACGGGGAGCGGCAGAGACGAACGCATGTGTACTGCACATCCTTCACGTCAGCACAAGATGCTCAATAAATATCAACCCACATTTTAACCCTAATATTGACTCCAAACCCATTTTATGGATGAGAAAATTGAGACTTAAGTTAGGTGGTTTGCCCAAGGCCTCTCTGTGGTGGAGCAGGGATTCAACCCAGACTCTTTAGCTCTAAAGTCCATAATAGTCCCAGTGTAAGCCTTGGTGGAGCCCCCACTCCAGGAGAGGCAGGAGCTGCCCTGTGCGGGGGAGAAACAGGCTGGACCTTCCAGGGCAGTCCCGCCACAGAGACGCACTGAGGAGCGAGGGGAGTCCTGACGGGTTTCATGGGCTCGGGGGTGAAGACGCAGAAAGGAAAGTCAAGTGGAGAAGGGCCATGGTTCTTCAAGACGTGTCATGTCTTGCCACTCTGTACTGACCTGGTGCTTCAGGAGAGGCGGCTGATAATGTGGGAACCCAGCACAGCATCGCTTCCTCCCAGATCTGCGATTAGTTTGCTGTGGGGCTGGGCAGGGCAGGCACTGCGTGATCTAATTTACCCTTTGCCTCGTTTTCTCCTCTGGTTGACTTGCAGAGGATGGAGGGCCCCGGCAAGCGTGTCTCAGCACAGCAGAGCGAGTAGGAGCAGGAAAGGTGAGATGCGCTACGAGGGCATTTCAGTACCTTGACTCTGTCTTTCCTCCCACCCAGGGAAGAGCTGTCATAAACAGAGCCACTAAACGATGTCTGGAGATGAAGCAGGACACCTCAGGCGTCTACGGGCTTGTGCTGCGGACCTGCACCACACAAGTGTGGACAATACAGTACACTGTCCGACACTGGGGGTCAGACTAACATCTGCGATCCTCAGAGAGCCTGGATTTGGGACACCAGTTCTTGCCACAGGAATGGGCTCTGTTCTCAATGCTGCTTAAAGTGGGAGAAGGTGAGAGAAAGAAAAGATGCCTGTGTGTGTTTGCTGTGACTTCAGCCTGCAACACACAGGATGTGGGGAGGTGAGGTCTGTGCCTGGTCAGGTCGTCCCCTCTGGGGAGGGGTCAGATGCCTCACCCCCAGCTTCCCTTGGAGGGTCATGGTATACGTCAAATGCCGTTCTTGGAAATTCCTTGAAATAAACGCCATCATCTTGCTGTTACGTGGGGAGAGAACTAGAAGGATGGAAGTTTATCTTTAACTTCTACCAACGCTGTTTAGTCTCATTCCTGACAACTACCGTTGCCATCTGCCCCACACCTCCTCCCCCAGCTCATCTGCTCAGAGACTCTTCAGACTGCCTGGGGCTGCTCCACAGAAGAGGCTGGGTCATCAGCAGCCCGGCAGCATGACAACCATTAGGAGGCACCAATTCTCTGGCAGCGTGTTGCTGCTTCTACTTCCTCTTTTCTGGACTGTCTTGAAAGAAGCAGCAATAGACAAGTAATTTTAAAAAATCCCTCCCTTCCTCCCGCCACAGCAATTTTATTTGGATTACCCAATCTCTCCCGAAGAGATTCCAGAGGCCGAGGGTGGGAGAGAACGCACCTCTGCTGATCGCAGCTCTGCACAGAGCTTAGAGAGTGGGAGGAAAGTCCAGATGCGGCGGAATCTTTCTCTAAGTAGCTTATAACATTTAATAGACTTGATTACCTATTTCCTTCTGCTATCCCTGCAAATTATGGAGAAAATGAGGCTTGAAACGGAAGGGCATCACTTACTGGGACACAAAGAAGGGATTCTAGGCAAAAACTTAAAACCGCAGCCCTACCTGCTGTCCACTGGACAAGTCCTTTCCCCTAGCTGGTGAGTTGGGAAGACATGTCTAGGGCTGCCAGTTTTCACAAGGTCACGGAGGTTGGTGGGTGTGGGCACTACGGCGGGAGAGGAGGAGGGATGGCCCTGTGTGTGTGTGGTGGGCTCACCTTTCAAGTATGTGCTCACAGGGCCCCTTCTCCAGATGGCTACTTTTTCCTCTTAATCTCACATCAGGGCTACTTGGGTTTAATTCTGGGAATCGTTGGGGTTCCTTCAGGCATCAGGCAGGCAAGACACTGATAACTTATCACAGAATTAAGTTGCCTAAGAATTTTTGAAATAAGCATTTAGGAGTGTACAAGTCATAAGTATACAGCTTGATAAAATCTTCACAGTGACCACATCCGTATCAAGAACTAAAACGTTACCACAGATAAGAGTTTATGATGAAAAAATTAAGGAACAGGATAAATGTTAAGCAGATGTATAACTAACTTCTAGCTTCTGCCTGGCAAATTGAAGGGAAAATGCGATTCATAGCAAAGTTTTTTAAAAAGCGTATACTCAATGGAAAAATGGGCAAAAGACACAATATCCTTCAACATATGAAAAGATATTTAACCTCACTCATAGAGAAATGCAAATTAAAATTGTACAAAGATCATTTTTCCCATAAACTGCTGAGAATTAAAAAGTATGCCAGCACATTCTGCTGGCAAAGTTGTGGGAAACAGGCACTCTTGCACGTTGATGGTGGGGATGCAAACAGGTTGAATCCTTCTGGAGGGATTTTTGGCAATATCTAAAAATACTATATGTACACTTTCTATTCGTGCCGGTAATTTCACCTCTAGGAATTTATACTTCCCCAAAATAAGAAAATACTATGTACAAAGTAATTATTTGCAATATTGATTGTAATTGTAAGATATTGGAAACAAAGAGTACCCTCAGACATCAGAGAATGCCTGAATGCATCCACACAGTGGAGTACTACGCAGCTATAAAAAAGAATGAGGAGCATTTCTTTGAACTGATAGGGAGTGATTTCCAGTGTGGAAAAAGGAAAACAGCATCTATGGTATGTAACTTTTAGGTAAGAAATGAGGGGAAAATATATATGTATCTATTCATTTCTGCAAAATGGCACATAAGGATAAACCAGAAACTAATGAGATTGGTTACCAATAGATGTTAGTGGTGAGGACTAGGGTACAAAGGATTGGGGATAGGAACAGGATAGAAGTGATGCAGCGGGACATCTCTGAAAATATACATTTTTTTCTGTAATTTAAGCTTTTGGAACCATGTCATATTTCACATGCTCAACACGTAAATACAGAAAACCATCAAGGATAGAGGGAAACTCAAAATAGAGTCCAAACAAAAGCAAGTGACCTAACTATATTTCTCTGTTTTAGATGAATACACACTCACTCTGAGCACACTCAGCATCCAGCATTCAGACCTTGGTTTGTAAATATTTTCCATTAAAAAGAATTAGGGATGCTTGGAGAAAGAGCTGATTTTAAGGCTGAGGGGCTGGCACATTTTTCTATGCTGGAAAATAAAGAACTGCTCAAAGAATTATAGCATGTCAAAAACTACAGCAGCCAGGTTCAAAGGGCTCCCACTGGCCAATTCTAGGACAATTTAAACATTAAAATAAATAATGATTTCATTATATGCATTATAAGTCATAAAATAAAATAAGAATCTGTGAGTCCATACCAATAAATGAATTGATGGATAGATGAGTGAATAGACAGGTAGAGAGAAGGGAAAGCTCTTTTTCATAGTAGAATGCCAACTGAAAAATGCAGGAAGAATTATGGAATTAGAAAGTTATTCAGCATATTCAACATAGTTAAAATTGTTTCAGGCAGGAATCATCAATGGATGTTAAAACTAATGGCTGATGCGAAACAGCGTGTACTCATAGCATCACAATAACTCCCAGAAGATATTTATTAACTACAAAGGGAAAATGTAGTTTCATGGTGGAGAAAACTGGCAGATAACATCCTAACCAGTGATCAACATTAACATCACCAGTTACTGGGCAATTGGACATCACGTGCCTCCTGATATGACACACTGAGAAGAATACATCGTTTCTACGGTGTTCCTGCCCCAAATACAGAACCTGAGTCTATAATCTCGAGGAAACATCAATTAAACCCAAATTGAGGGGCACTCTTCGAAATAGAATGGTCTGTATGCTTCAAGAATGTCAAAGTCATAAAAGACAAAGGAGTGACTGAGGAACTACCCCAGACTAAAGGAGACTGGAGACACGACAGCTAAGTGCAGTGGGTGAGCCCGGTTTGGAATCTAGCCCTGAGGGGAAGTTTTTTTCCTTTGGTTATTAAGGACAGCAGGGGACAACTGTAGAAGTTTAAATAAGGTTTGTTGATTAGGCAATAGGACTGTATCAATGTTATTTTTCTGATTTTGATCATTGTAGTCTGGATATATAAGAATATGAGAATGTCCTTGATTTTACAAAATACACACTGGGTGGATTGGGGGATGGGACATTATCTCTGAGATTAGATAGATAGGTAAGCAGATAGAAAGATAGGTAGATAGATGGACAGACATGGACAGACAGAGCAGTGGATGGTTGGATGGACAGATGGGCGAACAGAGACAGACGGATGGAGCAGACAGGTGGATGGAGCAGGAAGTGGTAAAACAAATGTGGTGAAGTGACTCTGGCTGAAGGGTGAAGGGTATACAAGGATTCTCTGTACTGTGTTTGCAACTTTTCTGGAAGTCTGAGACTGTATTAAAATAAAAAGATTTAAAACAAGATCAAACAAAAAATGCCTGTCTAGATGTACATTAATATCTCTTCCTGCTAAACAGCAGCCATCAGCACTAGCTGCTTAATCTAAGCTGGTGTTCCTTACTCTTTAAGAAACCTGTGATTCCCTCCCAGTCATGGTTAGGATGGCAGAAAGAGCCTCTGGCTCGCCCGTTTCCCCAGAGGTACTAAGCTTCCTCCAGCTGCTCTGATCTGCAGGGCGGCCTGTTAGTTGTGACAAGGAAGGTGTCGATGTACTTCCCTGGCCCTGAAACCACCCATCCCTTACCTGCCCATTACTTGTCCAAAGTGCAAAGTGGCATTCTGCTTCTCTGGTCGCTGTCCTCTTGCACCCTGCCCTGGGCAGGACAGGAGAAGGTCCTCTTGGCGACTGACTTTAGTCCAGTCAGGAAACGGTTCCCTTGGTAACCAAGTTAACTGCTCACTGATGCCTCTCTCTCTCATTTTTTGGAACATTGCAGATCTACTGTAAGTTAAAGTTACCTTGTAAACAACAGCGAATATGACAAGCATTAACTAGTCAATGATCTTGGAGAACAAGGGGTTGTAAAAGGCCAACAGAGAAGTAATTCTGTGTTTGCCCCCATGAGTTGGATATCTGGGACCGTGGTCCTGCCAGTTCCTTCCCTCTGCTCACATGGTGAGAATCCCTGGGTGTCTCCCAGTGTCCATTTCTCTCCCCATCCCACATTACCTCTGGGTTTCCTGATGGCCATCCCTGATTTGCTCCTTCTGGGGCCAGGAGGAGAAGCCATGCCTACAAGCAGCCTGAGACCCCCCACTTCGCTCCTCTCATTGGCCCTGAAGGGGCAGGCTAGTTTCCTCTTTTCATGGCACCTGTCCAGAGCTAAAGTTACCGTTGGCTCTGCTTGGTTCCCCCAAGTTCCCACAGAAACCCCAGGATCCAGCTTGTATCCTCTCCTTATTGCAGCTGCTTCTCTAGGATTCTGGCACTTTTCCAGAGGGAGATGGGCCTAGAGACCGGGGTGATGCCATCATGTCCCTGGTTGTCCCTTTTCTCCAGCCCCAAGCATCATCCACACCAGGCTAGAGCAGCCCGATGCTACCTTTAGGGTGAGGAACTTCCTCATTTGTGCAAAATTTAAGAGAGGAAGGGCTGAGGGCTGTGTCATAACAAATTGAGATTCTAGCTGTTTAAAAGTTAATCTCTTATAGAGTCCCTTTATTGTACTTGTAATCTATTTTTACAGTAAGAATTGTGCTTTTAGCTAATTTTCTAATTCTGAGGAAATTTGTAAGTCATTTTATAGAGGTTAAGTGAAATAGAGTTAGGCCAGTACTGTCAGGTGAGTAGTTATCGCTGGAATTGGTGGATAAAATCAACCTCTCATGACTTTAAGTTGTTAACTTATAATTTTAACAAACACAGTTTTCTCCTGCAAACATTTTAACAAATGTAGTTTCAGGGAGTAAACTTGTCTCCAGGTCACAAGTCTACTATCCTTGGAACTAAAAAAACCAAATCTCTCAATGTTACTGGAAAGCTGTTTGGCCTCCTTAGCAAAAAGACCTAGGCAGAAACTCAACTTTATGACAACAAGAGGAGAAATACGTATAGCTCTAACCTTCATTGATGAAAAACAGATGTGTCGATATTCCCTAATATTTTCCTTCTCTCTCTCTTGTCTTCTCCAAGCGCCTTGTCAATCTTCCTCCACTCTTTAAAGGTTCTTCGTTAACTACTGAGTGAGGCTGTTGGCTTCTGCTTCCAATACATTCTCTAGCCAAGGCTGGAGTGAAGGAGATGGGTTGATGCTCTCCTGATCGCACAGGTGCTTTGGGCTGGCTGCAGCCCCGGGTCCCCGATATTCCTCCTGCATCAAGTTCCCTGCTTCTCCTTCCAGAGCGCCGGTGGGCGGCCTTCCCCACGGGCCTGCAGCACATCTTGACGGGTGTTTCATAGGAGAACTCCTTCCCAGCATTGCTGGGGAAATTTCTGTGTTTTTACAAATTCAAATTCCAAGAAAAATTACTTGAAAAATGAGGAAAACGGGAAAAGTTCTATAATTCTGTGAGAATTAAAGCTTTGCAAGTAACACAGAGATGTTACTGGTTTGAAGGAATCCACTGATGTCCAATGAAATGCAAGAACAGGAAACGGACACACACACAGAGTACGAGGTTCAGGGTGATATTTTCTAAAACTAGGACAGGGACCTGCAGAAAAATGGCAGTCACAATCTACTCAGTTGGTCATGCATATAGCAACAGCTGTGTTGTAAGTGTGTATTTGTGACTTTTCCTCTCCTGGTGAGCAATTGTTGCAAATAAAAAATACATATTAAGTTTTTATGTCTAGTGTACTTTATACAAATCTTATGAATGGTGTTCCAAAAAGTAACAAGTTTTGGGAGCAAAGTAAGTCCTTAAATTGACAATTTCAACATATGATTCTGACTAGTGCTGTTAATCTAATTAACCTCTTAACAGGAGAGCCAAATATTATGTTATTTGAATACTACACAGTAACGTTTGCTGGCATTTTCTAGTGTTTGAATATTTGCTATAGACTAGAGTTTTTCTAAGTATTGTTGTTGTCATTACATGCCGTCAAGTTAGCTCTGATTCCTGGCGAGCTTATGAACGAGTGATGTCCACAGTGCCCTGTCGTCAGCAGCCCTGCTCACCTCCTGTGGACTCATGCCCATGGCTTCCTCTGTGGAGTCAGTCCATCTCACATTTGCTCTTCCTCTTTTCCTGCTGCCTCTACTTTGCCCAGCATTATTGTCTTTTCCAGAGAATCCTGCCGTCTCATGTTGTGTCCAAAGTAGACAGCCTCAGTGTTATCATTTTTGCCTCCAGTGGTAGTTGAGGCGTAATTTGCTCTGGGACCCAGTCGTTCGTCTTCCTGGCAGTCCAGGGCGTGTGCAGAGCTCTCCTCCAACACCACATTTCAAATGGATACACTGTTTTCCTCTCAGCCTTCTTCACTGTCCAGCTTTTGCACCCGTACACAGTGATAGGGAATACGAGGTGTGGACAACCTTGGCCTTGGCCTCTAATGACCCTTCCTTACACTCGATGATCTTTCCTAATTCTTTATTGCTGCCCTTTCGAGTGTCAATCTTCTCTTTATTTTTTGGCTGCAGTCTCCATTTAAATTCATGACTGAACCAAGGCGAACAAAGTCTTTAACAGTTTCCATGTCTTCCTTGTCTACGTTAAGCTGCGTAGTTCTGTGGTCGTGATCTTCATCTTCTTGATGTTCAAATGCAGGCCTGCTTTGGCTCTCTCTTCTTTCACTTTCATCAGAAGTCATTTCAAGTCATTGCTACTTGCTGCCAGTAAGATGATGTCATTGCATATTTTAGATTGTAGATTACGTCTTCTGCCAATTTCCAATTTCCGCTCCTTCATCTGAGTCTAGCCCCATTTTTCGTATGCTATGTTCTGCGTAGAGATTAAACAGATGGGGGAATAAAATGCACCCTTGTCTGACACCTTTGCCTCCAGGAATCCATCTGTCTCTCCATAGCCTGTCCTGACAGTGGCTTCTTGTCCACAGTACAGGTTAGGCATCAGGACAGTCAAGTGCTGAGGCACGCCCCTTCCTTTCAGAGCAGCCCAGAGCTTTTCATGATCCACACAGTCAAGGGCTTTCCTGTCGTCTGTGAAGCATGGACTAACTTTCTGAAACCCTATGGAGCGCTCCAGCAGCCAAGGAGTAACCACAGTCAGGCCTCGTGTGCCTCTCCCTTGTTGAAATCCAGCTTGGACAAAAGGCACTTCTTGCTCCATCTGAGGTCAAAGCCTTTGCAGCACCTCGAGCATCACTTTACTTGCACGGGAAGTCAGAGCGATGGTCCCATGGCTGCTGCACTCCTTCGCATCTCCTTTCCTGGGGATCAGGATGTATACTGAGCGTTTCCAGTCTGTTGGCCATTGGTTTGTTTTCTGTATTTCTTGGCACATTCTTGTTAGCATTGTGACAGATTCAGTCTCTGTGACTTGACATAATTCTATCAACATCCCATCTACCCTGGTGACTTATTTCTTCCCAGTGCTTTCACGGCAGCTTTCCCTTCACTTTCTAGAATTACGGGTTCTTCCTCAGAGGAGTCTTATTCAAAGGCATCTGTCATCCATCGTGCCTTCTGTATAGACCTTCAGGACAGGGTTTCCACTTTCCCCTGTTTTCTCCTGATCAGGTAGTCTGCTTCCCTCTTGGCCGTTCAGCATTCGCCTTTGACTTCTTGAATCTTCTGAAAAAGACCTCTCGTTCTTCCTCTTGTTTTCTTCCATCCCTTTGCGTCGGCCATTATAGTGGTTTTCTTTATCTCCATGTAACAGATGCTGAAAAACTGTGTTCAGGATTCTAACCCTGCCTTTGTCACCTTTTACTTTTGCTTCTTGCCTCTCCTAAGAATTTTTAGTGTTCCTTCTGTCATCGATCTCAGTTTTTCTTTTCTTTCTACTCCGGGGGTTGCCTTTTTACGTGCTTCCTTAATGACATTTCTGGTTTCAGTCCGTAGTTCTTTTGGTTCTCGGTTAATGAAGTCTAACAGTGCAAATCTGTTTTCATGTGAACTTTAAATTCATCAGGAGTGTTGTTTACGTGAGATTTTGGCACTACAGTTCTTGTGCTCTCCTTCAGCTTTACACTGATGTTTGAAATGAACAGTTCGTAGTCAGTACCGTAATCTGCTCCCGGTCTTGTTTTGGCAGAGAGAATATAGCTTCTCCAGCTCCTGCTTCCAGTTATGGTCTATATTGGTATCTGGTGAAATCTATGTAGACAGTCTTCTGTTTGAAGCATGAATTTGCAGTGGACAGATTGTTGGCCTTGCAGAAATCCATGAGCTGGTCTCCTGCTTCATTTCTGACCCCTCGTCCAAATTTTCCAACGACGTTTGATTCTGCTTTATTTCCTACTTTTGTGTTCCAGTCACTTACAATTATCAACATGTCTTGTTTGGATGTATGATCAATTTCTTCCTGGATACTTGCATAAAAACTTTCAGTTTCATCTTCTCCAGCA